CATGAACTCACAATCGGCCCTGTCACGGCCAAGGAGGCCATTCATGAACTCTCTGCCTGCCCTGTCACAGCCAAGGAGGCCATCCATGATCTCACTGCTTGTCTTGTTGAGGCAGCAGAGGCCACTGTTAACCTCTCTGTGCTCTCTGTTCCAGTCACGCCTGATCCACCTTGGTGGATCCCTGCTTTGCTGTGGTGGTCATCTGTTCCACTGTGGGGATTTTTGCTCCTGTCTGCACTGCTGACCTGGTGGTCCTCTGCTCCGCCTTGGCTTCCTGCTCTGCCTGCTCTGCCATGGCTTCCTGCCTTGCCGGCTCCGCCATGCCTTCCTGCTCTGCCGGCTCCACCCTGCCTTCCTGCTCTGTCGCCTCCGCCATGGCTACATGCTCCTCTGGATCTGACCTGGTGGTCTCCTGCTCCACTGTTCCACAGTCTGCCTCTGATCCACGGCCCAGGTCCTCCAGAGTTTCACTGTCTGCCACTGTTCCATGGCCCAGGTCCTCCAGTGCTTCACTGTCCGCCATTGCTCGTTTTCAGATGAAATTTAAAGGGGACTGAGGCGATCACGGATTCGTGTACAGTTTATGGAGCTAATCCCAAAATTTTTAGGGGGGCTGAGTAGTCATTTTAGGTGGGCTATATAGCCCCCCTAAAAATGGCCTAGCGACGCCCATGCGTCTGTGTATATGACAAATATTGTATTTAATTCACTTCATCTGTGATATAGTATGCAAACACCGCGCGAGCGTCACTAACGGGAGCAGAAAGTGTCCGGCTTGACGGCTCCGTTTTCAACTCCGCCCCCGACTACAAGCGGCTACTCTCATTGATGTCTCTGCTCCATGGCCCAGGACCTCCATTGTTTCACTGTCTGCCACTGTTCCATGGCCCAGGTCCTCCAGTGCTTCACTGTCCGCCATTGCTCCACGGTCCAGGCCCACCTCTGCTCCACAGCCTAGACCTACCTCTGCTTCACGGCCCTGTTCCACCATGGCTCCACTGCCCAGGTCTGCCATTGCCCCATGGTCCAGGTCCACCACTGCACCATGGCCCATGGTCTTGCCCTCTGCTCCACGGCCCAGGCCCACCACTGTTCTGCGATTCTGATCCTGTTCCCCTGCATGGGCCTGGCCCTCCACCCTCCGTTTTCAACTCCGCCCCCGACTGCAAGCGGCTACTCTCGTATACTGCCGTCTGTAGCCGCGCTTCTTGTCGAACGCACCTAATAGCGAACAACTTTGTCGTTTGTCAAGTATTGATCCGTGTGACCTGCTGTTGGTGAGTTTCTGATCATGTCAAGTCTGTTCATGCCGAGTCAAGTCTTTGTTTGTATTTTGGATTACTTTGAATAAAACTGCACTTGGCTTCATCACAACTCGCCTTCAGTGGACTGTTCGTTACATAACCTTCTCTGTCTCTCCACCAGATTTGCTCAGAGATTTATATGTGATCAAATTTAGGAAGTGATGTGCAGTATCTGGGTTTATAGCCCAAGGCTGATGCGTCTGCTGTATGCCTGTGCTAGTAAAAGAGGGAGTACACGTAATTGTCACCCATGATGTCATAGACCTACCCTTCCAAAAATAGTTTGATTCCGTCTGTCTCCCTTGCTATAAATAAATAAATAAAGAATCAAAAACAAATCTGCCCCCCCCCCCCCAAAAAGAATGTATAGTGGCATAATACATAATTAAATTATTTTGTAAGAAATAATACGTTTATCAAACAAGTCTTAGTAACAGGTTTCACAACACTGTAAACAATTGTTCCCCTTTTTAGTTCCCCATTTTGATGGATAAAAAATAACACTGTTTTAGCATTTTGTCTATAAACTGACTATATTCATTTTAAATACATACTAAACATGTTGAAACAAACAAAGTTATTATCAAATAAAGATATCACTGAAACTTTCATTTGATTTACTCATGTAATATGAACACATTAGTTTATGGAATCTAGCCAGAGATAGGAAAATTAACAAGTGCCCAAGATACCCCCTCTTGTGCCCCAGAGTAGTATAGTCAGGGGGCCCATGTGCACATCATGATCACAAGAATAGCTGTAAACTGACTTACCTGCTTTAACAGCTGTCAAATATGACAAAAGACACACAAGAGACTGCATTCTGTCAGTAAATGAATCCCCGCACTTTAGGGTATGATCTTGTTGTTGAGTGTTACAGCCTACCAACTACAAATTTAAGAAGTGACTTTAGCTAATGATTGGAATTCTTTGCTGGTCTTACCGGTCTTTCCATTCTCGGTTAAAAAAGTGATTTATGCTCAATATCTCATTGCTGTTCATTTTGAATCATAATTTTGATCTGTTTATCTTTAATAATTTCATATTTTTGTAATGCAGATTACTTAAGAAAATCATGGATTAATGTGATCATGCCAGACTATGTAAGGGTGGACTCAGCCTCAGACTTTCAAAAGTATGCATTGAAAAAAATGTTTCATTAATTTAATTAAAAAAATGTAGGGTAATGATTCACATCTATGTTTTTTAACTTGAGCCAATGAAAAATAAATAACTTGCCCTAAGGACAATTTATTTATTTTTCATTGTCTCAAGTTAAAAAATATGTATAATATATGTGAATCATTACCCTGCATTTTTTAAATTGGATGAATGAAAAACAAATTTCAGTGGGTGAAATATTTAAAGTTCATGGCACAGAATTTTTAAATATGTCCAAGAGTTTCACACACTGGTCTGCTATTGTGGGGACATTACCATGCCTTTAAACATGACAAAACAAAATGTCTCAAAACAAAATGTGATTGGTTGCTTTACCTGTCAGTCATATGGCCTCTTGGGCGGGCCTTGGCCATTCAGAGTCTGTCCTCGGTGCAGCCTGCAGCACGATGACGTAGCTGGACTATACCCACTACGTAGTGGATATTTTACGCGCATGCGCTGTAGTAGGTCTCGAATAAATTCATATTTTTATTTACATTTTATCATTTTGCAGACGCTTTTATCCACAGCGACTTAGTCTAACGACTTGGTCTAAGTGAAGTCTAACGCAGTAGGCTACATGTAGCAAGCATCTGCGATGTTTTCGTCTATACCGGCAACTTCAAAGCTTTGTTTGTTTATTTATTTAATTATTTATTTTTTGAATAGCCTGCAAGTCATATATTATTGCCAGGATGCACATCAATGCTGTATCCATTATTATAAGTATACAACAAGCACTGTAACATGACTGATATGCAGACGTTGCACTGTAAATAGCTCATTATTAAGATATACATCACTCTATCAGAGTTAGCCTAAATGTCTTTTTGATTCTATCCGTCATGTTTATTTAAATTTAATTGGGGATATTAGATTAATGCCGATCCATTTTGTTTATTTAGATTTTATATTATTCTAATATAGCTAGAGAGAGAGATAGAGAGCGAGAGAGCGCTCTCGTAACGGAATTGATGGTTTATGTCTTTAGCCATTTATAATTGGTCTATCTATCTCCAGGGATTTCACTTGCATATAACACACAAAAAAAGAAATGGTCATCTTTGTGTTAATATGCCTTGTCCCCGACCATGTGTGTATTTATTTGCTGGACATTCCCCGACCGTGTGTGTATTTATTTGCTGGACATGAACATTTTCTTGCAAAGTGATTATATCATGTTTTGATGCCTGTGTTGAATTTCATTTAGACTTTACGCAATAAATTTATGTTTGCATCTCAAACATAAATTTATTAAGTAGACTGTAAGTGTATTGTTTTAGTAAATTCAGTAAAACTGCTTTTCCGTTTTTTCAGTGTGGTCTATATGTAGCCACGATTTAGCTCTAAATTAGACGGGCTACGTGTAGTCTGCTTTTAGCCCTCCTGGCGAAATCGAGGCAATCCGTGGTCTAATTTTAACGGCTTGGCTATTAGACCAACGATTATAACAGCCAAAATAGTCTTAAAATTTGTTACATGTAGTTTTCGCCCACTGTTGTATGGGGAACGACATCATACCATTTTAGCAAAATCATTTAAAGTGTGATTATCATTTCATTGAAATGGTCTATAGCTTATATACCAAACTCTTTCATTCAAAACCACGCCATCCTTGCTTAAATAAAGTTTGAATACACTACTAGTTTAAAATCACAGTATAATATAATTTGTGTAAGCCTATGAAACACACCTAGGCCTATATCTCGTAATAATTACAGTTTAATTTACATTAAATACTAGCTTCAATGACAGCCCATGTCATTGTTTCATTGTTTCATTTGCGCATGTGCATTAAAATCCAATACTGAGCATGCTCGTCAAACATCCAATATGTATTGGATCTGATCCAGCTACGTCATCGTACTACAGGCTGCAGCGAGGACCTCTTGTTCAAAGCGGCCAAGGTTCCCAGACCTTCTGCCGACATTCTGAAGGTCTGACTAGGCAAGACTAATGTAAGGGTGGCCTCCTTGGATGAAACTGCATCTGATGTCCCCATGAAAATGAGATGGTACCCACTTAGGTGCTCTACACAGACTCTGTGTATAGGGAGCAGCAATATTGATGCTGTGTTATCACTATAGGTCAAGTATTTGGTGTAGAATTATAGGTTAAGGGGGTTTATTTGTTCAGCAATCAGCACTTGAAAGTTAGCACGCTGTGCTAAATCTGTTTATTAATTCTGAAAGGTTGCATTTTTGCTTAATAAAGCTATAGACCTACATAGTTTAGCCATTTTTCTCTGGCAACCATCACCTCAGGGGTGTATTTCCCAAAATCATTGTTATATCTATGGTTGTTAGTTCCATTAACCTCTATTGGCAATGATGGAACTTGCGACCATAGTTGCTTTTGGGAAACGCACCCCAGAGCACTGGCAAAAGTATTTCTTAAAAAAAAAAAACATAATCTCTAACCTCTTGAATCCAGCTGGCATGGAAAAACAGATTATGCACAATAATAATCAGAATCAGAAAGAGCTTAATTGCCAAGTGTGCTCACACACACAAGGAATTTGTCTGGGTGACAGAAGCATCCACTGCACAGATGGGATGACAAGTGACAAGATAGATAACAAAATAAAAGTGATTAAAAATGTGAAAACAATACAAAACAGACAAAAAGACAACAGAAGATATATTGTATGTAGATGTGCAATATACAAATTATGCAAGGGAATTTGGATGTAACATGTTAAACAAATAACATGTATAATAAATATAAGTATGGATAGTTGGGTATATATAATAATTAGGCCTATAGTAAAGCATTATTATGATTATACACAGTAAGCCTACTCTTTGCTCTAACACACAAATACGCAGCATACTTTTTGTCTCACATCATGAATCTGCAATGCAAACAAATTTTAGGCTCAATAAAAGAATTTCTGGACTGGTTGTGGGCATAGGTACATTTTTTAAATTTATAAAACTCTCTGTAAATGCCAGATTATATATTAATTGAAATATTTTGTGTACTTTACATTTTTACAATTTTCGCAACATTCATGATATTTGTATTATTACAAAAGATCTGATGCATTGACGTATGTGGTTGAATACAACCCTTTATACAGGTGCATCTCAATAAATTAGAATGTCGTGGAAAAGTTCATTTATTTCAGTAATTCAACTCAAATTGTGAAACTCGTGTATTATCTAATTTATTGAGATGCACCCGTATTTCATGTTGCTTATGGTTTTAGCAGTACCATCTAGTGGTCAAAAAACAAACTGACACAACAATATATTCAAACTGTCTTAACCTACATGGGTCTTTCTTGGGGCTGCTCCAAATGGGAGGGACTATATCTCTAAATGAGTTGTACAGAAGAAGTGACATGTGGCCAAGTATGGTGACCTACACTCGGAATTTGTGCTCTGCATTTAACCCATCCAAGTGCACACACACACACCGTGAACACACACCCAGAGCAGTGGGCAGCCATATTACTGCGGCTTCCGGGTAGCAGTTGGGGGTTCGGTGACTTGCTCAAGATGGTATTGAAGGTGAAAGAGAGCGCTGTACATTCACTCCCCCCACCTACAATACAATCCCTGCCAGACCTAAGACTCGACCCCACAACCTTTGGGTTACAAGTCTGACTCTCTATCCATTAGGCCACGACTGCCCCTGTATAGAAGGTTCCTACCTAAGCCCACCCCTAAACAAAACCCCACTAAGTTAAATATCTCTAAGTCTGTTTTATTGAAAATATGCTTATTTATTATACAGGTTTTCCAAAAAGATTTGATTCATTGATGTTAACAATTAAGATATAAACATGAAGCTACAAGCTACACTTATAGCCTGAAACATAAAGAAGGAACACAATACATTCAAAATCAAGGAACTGCTGTTGCTTCTCAGTACAAGAAAGCAAAAAATAGGTTGCAATAGTAAAGAGAATAAAAGCATGCATTAGCAGTGGTGCAGTTAAACCAGATGACTGGCATTTTCAGCTTGTGAAATTCTAATAACCTTTATTTAACAAAAATGGTTACAATTATAGGCTTAACATAACTATAACTTTGATTATAATTGCATTTGCTCTGAATAGCCATTTCTAATCTGACTGTGTGAAGAACCCGGAAGCGTGGCTGCTGCTTGTTTTGTGATGTCATGATAAATTCATCTCACCAGTGACCATATTTAGACTTCCTCCTTCAGCTGCGGTCACTGGGCAAAACTCCAGAATTTCCAGCCAGCAGCTCAAGTGAAACTGAAAGAAAAAAAAACACCTTGTTTATCCGAACAGGTCTTTGATCATGTCATTGTTAATAATAACTATTTATTTTTATTCATTATTAAATAACAAAGGACAGCAAGATAGACAAGATCATGGTTATTAAGACACTTACTGGCTGCCCTGTAGGGATGGAAAGATATTTGGGACTTCGTTCAGCGTCTTCTCGTCGGAGATTACCTCCACGAGCAATGCCAACGTCCTCGTGTCTGTAAAAGCTCTCCTGTGAAACAAGTTTGTTACACACAAACATTCTTGATGTGTCAGGAGCTGATGGCCAACCCACCGCTTGCAGCCACAATCTAGCTCTGTCAGCATCTCGGGGGAACCAGTGCAAACCTGTCAAATTCTTACAAGGAGCCAACAAACACTTGCAACCCATTCTGAATTCAGAGCCAGCCTGGCATCAACTCTGTTTATAGGAAAAGGTCACATGACAGAAACCAAATCAAGCAGAGACAGGCAAAGTCAGATTCACATATGCTGCATTAAACATATAAGGGAAGAATCAGAGAATGGGATAACTGTTCAGTATCCTCATACAAAACATTTATTGTTTTTATCAAACAGGTGGCTTTTCCTGTTTCTTACACTTTACAGTAAGGTTTAATTGTTAACATTAGTTAATGCATTAAGTATCATCAACTAACAATAAACAACATTTTTACAGCATTTAATAATAATTATTTATAAATATAGTATTGTTCATTTTTTATTTCATGTTCATTCATGTTCAAAATAAAAAATGTAAAACTTTTAGCATACTGTATATAGAAATTACATTGACCATGTGTAGTAAATGAGCTGTAAGTGCTGTAAAAGTAATAATTCTAATTTCTAATTCTAATTCTAATTATAATTGCTACTTCTTGATATACTACATGAGCTAATGTTAATGTACCTTAAAGAGCTACCAAAATATGAATAATTTGTTAGTAGATCTATTTTCTGAAAATAGAAAAGATACATGTTCTGTTCTGGTACTCTTCCATCATTTTATTTGTTAAAGGCAATAACCATATTACACAAGCAGATTTTACACAGCAGGAAAAACAAGTAAACAGAATGGAAAGGAATGAAATGAAACATATGTCAAAGAATAACCAGGACACCAGGAATATGTCTACAGAACTCATCCATCTGCAACTCTCAGAACTCAGATACTTTTGCAGGACAACCACACAATAATACAACAAATATACAAACTTGGAGCGGAGATCATGAAGCAGGGGAACAAGTTAGCAGCAGCATGTTAAATGCACACAGCAGTGTGTCCGTGTACGTATTGGCAGTATCTCTCTCCTTGCTCTGCAGTAGCAGCAGCAGCATAGCAGATCTGTTCTGCCAAGACCAAATACATTAACATTGTAAAATATGTTACCATGCCAAACTCTCAACAGAAATACAAAGTGTTGTCTTGAAACTCAATATGGCACAGACTGATAGGTTACATAGTACATACTGTATAACTGATAGCAATCACATAGTTTTCTACATGGCGCAGATGATTGGTTTCTATAGCATCATATGCCAATAAGCTTGCTGCTTGACATTTAGGGTTTGCTATAGCAGTTGCAGCACAAACCAAACTAGAGAGTTGCCATGACAGAAAGTTAAAGTGACGTGACTTGGAATTTCCCATACTTGGAATTTATGCTCTGCATTTCACCCATCCAAGTGGACACACAAAGAGTTTTAAACACACAGTGCTGCAGGGCCCGGTGTGCAATTGCGGTTTAGGTGCCTTGCTCAGTTGTGGGTATGAAAAGCACTGAAGAGCGCTGAGGAGAGTGCTGTATAATCAGTCCCCCACCTTTCCTGCCGGTATTGAGACTCTAACCTACAACCTTCGGATTAGTCCAAGTCCAACTCTCTAACCATTAGGCCACAACTGCCCAGAAATCACACAGAAATACAATAATACAGCAGGAGATATTGTTCCTAAACAATATTATGATTTCAGGCCACATGTGCCAAGTTTTATGTTGCATACTGCATACATTTACCTACATATGTTCCTTTGTCTTTGTATTTTTTTAATGTCATTTGAAGGCCATCATAGCACAATTCAAATAGCATCCAACAAGCACTTTTAACTTTTCATGTTTTATCGCGCATCGAAGCTGAAATGAAGAAAAAATACTTTGGTTGTCATTTCTAGAAAGTTCACAAAATTAACCATAAAAAGAATGTTGTTGTTGAATTCATATTACTTTACAAAAAAATTTACTCACATGGAGTAGGGGAGTATTTACTCTGTGATGTCAAAGTTCCCTGTCCTCAATAAAAATAAGATAGTAAAACCATGATAGATAAAACGTAACACTACAGAAACAAAACTGCATGCAATGAATTTTCATCTAATTGAGCATTAGATGTAATGAACTGGACTGAACAGATCATTTACCAGCAGCTCGTCTCTTCCTCCATATGATGACTGCAGTTATTATGAGAACAGCCACACACATGAACACCAGCACACTGAAAACTACAGAATGACTGAAAGATCCTGGGTCACATTCAGCCACATCTGAAAATGGTGAGTTAAAAAAAAAAAGTGATAACAGTGAGTTACAGAGATATGAAGATATTTTTTTTTTTGTTATTATATCTATTGTGGCATTTTTTTTAATTGTTTTTTTTTTCTTTACCATATGTGATGTCCAGTTTGTTTTCCAAATTGAGGTGCTTCATTGTGCAGTTGTATTTATGTTCCTCACATAGTTCTTCTTCACTGATCACCAAACTCTTCCTCATCTGGCAAGTTCCGTCTCCGTTGGGCAGAATCTCTCCTCCTGTGATCTGATCATCATCCACAGGCTGACCATCTCTGAACATGGTCAGGTTAATGTGACGGGGGTAAAAACCAGTGGCCAGACAGCTGATCTGAAGCCCTTGAGAGTCTGAGAGGGTCTTATTCATGAATCTGACTCTGGGTTTTACTATAGAGAAGGATGAGTAGTGTTACTGTTGCAAAAGTGTTTTGTAATGCTTCATAAAGCATTTAGAGAAACACAGAGGTGGAAAGTAAATAATTACATTGAAACTACTGCAGTAAATAATGGGCAGGAGAAGAAACTAGCGCTAAAATCACAAGAAAGATGGAGACGAACAAGACGTTAGTGGTGCAGACCCAGCTGAAAATGAAACAACGTCGTATTCTGCTGAGGTTGAACTCGAAGAGAATGAAGTGAACCCCTGGCCATATTTAAGCTCTATTATGCAGTGTAAGCTGTGTTTGCCCAGGGAGACCAAACTAGCAGCTTATAAAATCTAGACATCAAACCTTTGCAAGCATGTAGAGGTAAGGTAAATACTTGCATTGTTGCATTGGTGGTTAAAATGAAGCTTTGACAGTTTAGCAAGAGGTTTTGCACAAATTAGCCAAAAAGACAGTGGTGCAGGACTCGTCTGCGATAATACCGTAATTGCTGTTTTAACGATGTGCAATATCTGACATTATCGAGTACTTTGCAAAAAAAAAAAAACACTCCTACAGAGTGCTGTGAAGTCTAGTAGATTTAGACTAGTGCGCGTGCGCATTCAGTAGCCCCTCACTGCAGAACACAAGATCCAGGGGGCGTGGTTGGATCCACATCTAAGGGGTGGAGGTTGGTAGGTTTAGGGGTGGAGATGGGTGGGCTTAGGGATCAGGGGGTGGAGACAGGTAGGTTTAGGTATATGTAAGGTGGGAGGAGTTGGATCTGGATCCAACCACGCCCCCTGGATCTTGTGTTCTGCAGTGAGGACCATCTCTGCGCATTTAGAGTGCGTTCTTTCACTGCGTGATTCAGTCTATTAAAATGCATTTAGAATGCTCACGAAATTGAAGATAGGGACAGAAAATGTATATATTTCTATCATTTCATATATTAATCAATATCACATGAAGAGTGCCAAAAATCAGCACGATTATAGATTTTTTTTTACAGCAGTTCAATAAACAAGAAGTTAATTAAGAGACTTACGTTTTAGACACCATATTGCCTGTTTTTGCTCTATTTCGACAACAAAAAAGAATTTCAAACACAGCCGCCACAGCAGTTTTGCGCCTCTGAGCAACATTTTGTTCTTGAATGAATCAACTGTTTAAATGATTCGGTTCGATCGCAATCACTCACTTATTAACAGCGACTTGATGCCACCTACTGGTGGTTTTAATTTCACATTTAAAATGTCTTTTGTTTTGTTTGTTGTTGTTGTTGTTTATAATTTCAAATATGAGTATTCAATGTTTTATGTCTTATATATCAAAACATTATTTCTGCATTTGTAACTGCAGGTTAAATGCATTAATGTCCTGCATTAAACAGTGTGTAAATGCATCTAAATGCCACTTAAGATGCAGCTTCTGTGTTTCCTCCGCATTGCAAAGATGAATTTTGTTGATACTGATTTAATTTGCTTGGTAACAGCCAAAATGTCTTATTATTCTAATTCACTGATTAAATGTAAGAATTTGGCTCAAAGGATGAACACTTTTAGAAAGAAAATGGCTTTATAAAGGTAAAAATGCCCATAAAAGATAAAAATCAATTTAAACTTATTAGAAAATATTAATTTCTATCACTGCTGTGAACTGACCACCACACAGAATATGAAGAATATCAAAAACGTTAAGAGTGAGCTGTCCATGGTAATCTTTAAGATACCAGCATAACACTCTCAGCAAAATATTGTCTAATTATCGTTATCAATAAAATCCAAGAAAATATCAAAATATTGTTGGTTGGCACCAGGGTCAGAATTGAAGGGGGGCTTGGGGCAAAAATGTCGCCCAATTTATGATTAGGTGCAAAAAGTGTCCCTGCACAATTAAGCAAGAACTATTAGGCTTACTGCGGTCACTATTTAAGTATAATGTGAAATAAATGAAAAGTGTTACATTTTAGAGTAGATCTGCTCATGTTGCATCAGATGTCTTTATACTGGCGTTTTGCAGCATTGAGCATTGTAGTAGCCATTTACACACCTTTCTGTTGTGTTTATGAATGCAATGTCCAATCAGAGGCGTTTTGATTCATCACCGCGGAGAACGCTGGAGTTGTTCCAAGTGTGCGCACTTACTGACTGAATTCTGAATGTGTATTCGCAAATTCTGTCATAATCATAAACAACAAAGTGCAAAATAAATGTGATTGATTTGCTTCAGTGATTATGGGAGTTTTTGCAAAAGTGCATATAGCTCACATTAGACTGAAGTCATGCACCACTTAACTGTACTTTGCTTGCTTTCTTTGTATAGTTTATAATAATATTAATTTGTTTTTCATGCTACTGAAATAACCATTGTGAAGTCTTGATTTTCTAACCCTTCAAAAGCAATAAAAAATTTCATAAACGGTTCTAAGCTTGTTTTGTCGGTAGCCAAAATATAACTTGTTTTTTCTGCCTACTTGGTGGGATGGTCTGCATTAAAATCTCACATACCTCCCTAAATGTTTTAAATGTCAACATGTTTTTGGTTATTGCAGTTTAACTTGTAAAGGTGTTCCTTTAATTAAAAACAACTAGTTTGAGATTTATAGGCCTATCCTATTTTGCCCCCCTCCCGCTGTTAAAATGTAAGTAACTTTTACTCTGAGTAGGCTACATTTTAAATGAGCTACTTTTTACTTTTACTTGAGTAGATTTTTAGACTGGTATTTTTACTTGTACTTAAGTAAAATTTCATTAATGCAATGGTACTTTTACTTGAGTAGAATATTTTAGTACTCTTACCACCTCTGGAGAAACATATTTCTCTTACCTTTTCTCAGCACGTTGTTCTTTTCCATATACAAATACCTCCGCAAAACTTTCATACAAAGAGGGTGATAAACATTTTCATACATATACTTTACACGAATCCATTTATGTTGGTCCCATGGCCGCCATGTCATTTTTGTCTGGGTTTTGTTGTTTTCTATGTCAAAAATTAACTCTTCTATATTTTGTCCATCTAAAGCATCCCATCTCTGAAGTAGACCTGGTTTATCATCGTTTAACAATTCACATCCAGCAATTCTCTGATGAACTTGTACACCTCCGGAAAACAAATATTAAGACTTAATCTATTTTTTATAATTACTGTCTCTAGCACATGTAGCTTTCTTGCTTATATGTCAAAAGTTTTATATGCTATTTGCATAAACACTTAAAAGTTACATTGATTATTAAGTCTTTTGTATGTTATAATTCTTTTGGGTTGCACTTACCATCTGTGTGATTTTGCTGCTCCTTAAGATAAAATGCTCTTTCTTTAAAGATGTTATACATAACGCGAAATACAATATCAGCATCCTTTTGTTCTTCTTCATGGAACTGCAAGTCAGTACTGTTAGTGCGATAGACAGGTTTCCATGTGACCGAGTCATAATATCCTATTTGCACATCATCTAACATCAGCACAGCACTGAACTCAGGAAATGGTGTCTGTCCAGCTATATACGTTACAAATGCCATCAACGAGTGAACATCTGTGGATACACAAGGAATATACAATGTGTACATAAGAGACATTTTCTATTACTAAGACAAACTAACTACATATGTATAAAATTATTATATGGTTTGTGTAGGTGAGCAGCACAGTTCCCAGTTGTATAGGTAGTGAAAATCGTGTGGAGAGATTTGAGTGTTGTGAAGTGTGAAAAAAGCAGCTCAATGTTGTCAAAGTTTAGATTAAGCTGATAGACATCCAAATGGAAACATCAGTGAGGTAAGGTCAGGTCCTGAGAGTGAAATTTTGTAAAAACAGAGGAATTATGGAAAAGAAAGGAACTAAATCAGATCAAGACTGAATAAAATTAGAGACATGACCAAGACTATGTGAGTTTATTCATATTATTTATGTCAAGTCAAATCTTTTAGAACTGCTAGACAACTCGGAGGTTACCAGTGCATGTAGGCTACATTTGCGTTATTCAGATATGCTAGAAGAGATGAAAAAGGATACAAATATTTTCTTACATTTAAGTTAAAATGTTTCCATTTAAGAAAACTATTTTGCAAGATTGTAAGGCAACATTGCATGCTACTGCAAAATAATTGACAGAGCCAGGAAAAAAAAAAAGTTTAGCTTAATTTTTTTATATGTTGTGGTTGCCTACCAAACATTTATAGAACTAATTAAGACACAGAATGTGAGTTTAAGAAATAGAATTATGCGTCATAAAACACCGTGAATACACACTAATTTACTAGATGAAGACCTCTGTCAGTTGTTTTCAAGTTAGTTGTGACAGAATTTTTGTGACTCCTCTTCGAATTGTATTTGTTCAATTATGTCTCAGAGCAAGAATTCATTTGCGTGGTTATTTTACACCTCCAAACTGTCTCATGTTCTCATGATGAGTTTCACTTTCATAGAGGTGCTATGCATTGATGTAAAAATAGCCCACGTTTGTCCGATAATTACTTAACTGTATTAATTTTAGAGTAGGTTGCCGCTACTATTCCATCGAAAACCTCGAAATTACATAATACCTTGTTGTGTATATTAGATTATCTAAAGGAAAATAACCGTAGCAATCTTACCTGATTTGGCGACTTGAAAGCAAGTCAACAAATATACACAAAACAGCATTATCTGAGTAAATAAGTCCTTATGCCTTAAATCATAAATCATTAAAATGGTTCATCTCGATTTGTTTTTGTACTCCTGATCTAGCACGAGGCTGAATTCAGCTTCTTATTCGCAGCTTCTTATTGACGCTATAGGGACCGTCTCTATTTGTGTCTCTTTTTCAGAAACGAACAATAAACCATTTTAAAATGTAAATAACACTTAAGATAAGAGTGAAAACGGGCTATCAAGATACGTTAATTATTGAACGTGCATGTCATCCTTTAAGTGCAGTAATGAAGTTTTTATTTTTTTATTTTTTTTATCTAGCCTCTTATGAAGAGTTCATATGACCCAGCACCTGTGAATTGAGGACACAAAATGATGACATTTTCATTGCTTTAAAATGCACACAAAGTTTGCTTAAATGCATATATGGTATTTGTAAATACTATAATTTGTACTAGACTTCAACTGTTCTTTCTGATACCCACTCCTATAAAGAATATTCTGGTTTTGTAACAGAAAAACGTGCATTTTCTGTAAAGCTGCTCTGAAACAATATGTGTTGTGAAATGCGTTATACAAATAAATATGACTTAACTGAATGAGCCATTGCATTGTTGGTTACTGTACCATGTTGTCTCCGAGGGTGTGTTGAGAGTTTCACAGGGTGCTTATACCCAGTGTGCTTATCCATTATAAAAAAGAAATAAATGAAAAATAAATAAATAAATAAATGAAAATAAAATTATATATATATAATTTATACCTACAATCCCTGCCGGTACGAGACTCGAACCCACAACCTTTGGGTTACGAGTCCGACTCACTAACCATTAGGCCACGACTTCCCAAACGAAGTAACACAAGTACAGTCAAATTCCTTAGCTACAATTCTAGCGCTGCTGTATTGCCTTCAACTCAGGCTCTACTTCCTGTAGAGACAAGTACACCATTTATCTTACTCATCAATCTGTTTTCATCAATGCTTTGAGACTGATGTTCCACAAGTTAACCACCAGAGGTCACTGTCACCCATATTTTGACTGTGTCTTATACCCACAAATCAATTTGTGTGTGTGTGTGTGTGTGTGTGTGTGTGTGTGTGTGTGTGTGGGGGGGGGGTATTAATGCTATTGTTTATTGATTAATACTATTGATTAGTATTAATCAATAAACTTTAAAAACATTAGTTTCAAAGCACAATAAATAAACAAGCAAACAAATAAACTAGAGATAGGAAATTAATAACACATTTTTACTTGATCTAACTGTCAGTTTATGAAGCAGATCTAATCTAGGCTATAAACAGGTGGAAGATGCAGTATTTTTGATATAGGGTTTGCAATGCAAATTTGTATGGGATCAGTGCATAGCAAGACAACAACAAATATCTTTAGCGTGTCAGTAATTACATATTTTTTTCTTCGTTTGGCAATGCTGAGATCCTTTATCTCTACATTTGCACAGACAGAATGATTTGTGACATTTAGAATTAGGAATTAGATGTAAATAATAAATACGAACCCATCATGTTCTAGTTTGAGATTGTTGAAGGGCTTATTCATGATAACTGAAAGATTTCAGAATTTAGATGTTACATATCATCTGAAAAGGATTACATTAAACAATAAAAATGACAACACAAGCTTTACCGTGAAACTGCTGGGCAAAAATATGAATAAAAAATTATAAGTAGCCTAGCCTACACTTCTTTTTTCTTTTACGATCCGTTCATTGCGTCTGTCACGTGACAAATGAACAAACGACTCGGTGAAGTAATTGTTTATGTCCCCTGTAAATTATCTTTGGATGCATTATAATGATTTCTTAATTCAGAATTCGATATTCTGGCTGTTAAAAAAACATTTAAAGCCACTTCAATTAACGAAATTACTTAAAGATTCGTTCATTTTGATGAACGAGATCGAACTAGAGAGTCAGTAAAGTGATCCGAACTTCCCATCACTATTGCACAAGTTAACCACCAGAGGTCACTGTCACCTATATTTTGACTGTGCCTTTCGCATTATGATATTCATTGTTTTACATACCACTGTGGAACTGGATTTTGGCCTGCTTGTTTGTCAAGCACGGCTGCGTTTCCCAAAAGCATCGCAAACCCAAGTACAGTATAACTGCTCTTTACAGTCTACTTACAGGTCTATATGGTTAGACACCAGACTGACCTTTGCATACAATCAAGAGTGTGTCTTGTAGTAGTGTGTATCAAACCTGTGGATTATTGTGATGTTTTTATCAGCTGTTTGGACTCTCATTCTGAAAAGCACCCATTTGATCCATTGGTGAGCAGGTGATGTGATGCTAAATTTCTCCAAATCTGTTCTGACGAAGAAACAAACTCATCTACATGTTGGATGGCCTGTGGGTTAGTATATTTTAAGCAGTTTTTTTTTCTCAATATTTCATGTCCTCTTATTTGTGTATGTTTCATGTATGTTTTCCTTTCTGCAGTAAAACCAGAAGTCATTATCTGTTCAGTCAGGGAATCAGAAAAGGGAATGAGAAAGCTCTTCTGGTGTGCAGTGCCTATGACTTCCACCCCAAACCCATCAACCTGACGTGGATGAGAGATGATACAAAGATGAAAGCTAATGTGACATCCACTGAGCAGCTGGCTGATGGAGACTGGTAGGCTACTACCAGATCCACTTCCACCTGGAATACTTCCCCAAACCTGGAGAGAAGATCTCCTGTGTCATGTGGTGGAGCACGCCAGCTCCCATAAACCCATAATCTATTACTGGGGTAAGATCCGTTATGATGGAATAAAAGTGTTAAGGATAAATTACTATAAAAACTTAACTGAAATGGGCAGAATGTCTTTTATTTTAGATCCTTCTCTGGAGGACTTTGACAGGAATAAACTCATTACTGGGGCCGCAGGGTTGGTGTTGGGGGCGGTTATTGCAGATGTAGGGTTGATCTACTGCAAAAAGTGCACACAGGTTAGTGTTATGTACTGTGATAAAGAAACAGCATCCTTTTCTGTAACATAGATTGAGATGTTATTTATTGCTGGTGATACACTTTTACAGACAGCCTGTTTCCTACTTCTGCAAGCAATGAGCAGCACTGAAGAGCAGTGTATTGCAAAACATTCTCACACGTGAACCCTAAGTGTTTCCAGGGGTCTCCACAAGGTGGACATTGAGCTAGAGACTGTGAGAGCTGACCATTAAGAGAAAGAAAAAATGCTTAAAACTTCTAAAGATCTTCAGACGAACTGACTGTCTTTATACTATGGATTGTTTACTACAGTAAAAATGAGCAATGATAGTCAACTACTGAATCACATCACAATGCAAATGAACAGTCACATATTGTGACATACAGATCACAGCTCAAAATGGAATGGTTTATTGTATTAAGTTTGTTGTCCCTATTTCAAAGCTTTGTTTGTGCCCTACCATTCATCAGTTTGGAGTCTCTAATTTGTTTATATATATTTTTGAAAGAAGTCTCTAATGCTCACTGTGTTTACTTGGTTAAAAATATGATAAAACAGTAATATTGTAAAATAATATTACAATTGAAAAGAACTCTTTTCTATTTGGATATGTTTTAAAATTTAAAATTTAATCCTGTGATGCAAAGCAGAATTTTCAGCATCATTACTCCAGTCTTCAGTGTCACATTGTCACATGAGAAATCATTTAAATATGCTGACTTGCTGCTCAAGAAATGCTTCTTGTTGTTTATTATCAGTTATTATTATCTTTATATAACAGCAGTGCTGCTTAATATTTTTGTGGAAAGCGTGATGTATTTTCTTCAAGACGAATACAAAGTTCAAAAGAACTGCATGCATTTATTTAAAATAGAAATCTTTTGTAACATTATAAATGTGTTTTCTGTCACTTTTGATCAATTTAATGCATCATTGCTGAATGAAAGTAAATACAATTTCTTAAAAGAAAAAAAAAATCTTACTGACCCCAAACTTTTGAACAGTGGTGGAATATGATCATGTTGCATTAAAAGTCATTCAAAGTATCACAAGTTAATTTAAGAGGCGTAAAAAATGTTTTTATCATAAATGCAGATGTTTTAATTGCATTTAGATTAAAATAGGAGTAGCTGTAGGCCTAAACATGTTTTTATCTGAATTAAGATAAAACAGTTAGGAGATTTGGGACAGTTTGACTTGATAAAGCTCCATATTACAGTCTGTAAGATAATGTGCCCCATATTTATTTGTTGAAAATCTACAAATAAATATCCTTAGCTAAAAAGAGGAAGTAATAAAAACACCCTTAATACACTCACACATTAGTGACTTTAGAGACACATTAGACAAAATTTTACAAAAAACACACTGTAAATTTACATCCTTTTTATCCTTACAAATGCCCTTATCAATCACATAAGCAATAAAAATTATAATCTTTGTCAGTGGACAACCCTAAAACTCGTTTTTGATTAAACCAGATCATTTAGTGAATCCAGAATACTGTACTGTACATTTTGCTTGGCTCTTTGATCAATACACTTTCAGAACAGAAATAATGATAACTAACACTTCTATTGACAAAGAAAAAGAGTGTTATTAAGTATTGCTATTCAAGAGTATAGGCTAGACTGGAATAACCAGATTGTTTTGATGTTGAGCTGATAGCAGACAAATCTAGGCTAAGTGAGGCTTTAAAAAAAGTATGACATATGCTTATCATAAGTTTGTCTTTCTCTCCTTCTGTCCATCAAAAGTTTTCTCCCACTGCCCTGGGACTGGTGGTGTTGGCCTTTGATTTTAATACTGAGAGCATAATGTATGTAAGATGTTTGAATAGCTTTTTGAGTGCGGCTAGATTAAAGAGAGTTCCGTGTAATGGAACAAACAAAAAAGCATCTGCAGATTTTATTTAAATATATTTCAAACCTCCAATGATTTGGATAGAGTTGACAAAGGCAGAGAGGGAGGAAGAGTTTTGGAAAACACTATTAATTCATTGTACGTGTGTGTGTGTTTTCAGTGCCTGTTTGCTTTGTTTCTGTAACACTTTCACTCACTGAAATTGCACTTTCATCTGTTTCTCCGTCCTTAAAATGATGTTGCTCCTTTTGAGTTA